AAAGGACTTGTGTCGCTAAAGTTTCGTTGGAACAAAGTTACGAAAAATTAACTAACGAACGGAGACGTAACAATACTAAGGAAGGGGCAGTGTTACGACAGCGGAAGTCATGCGATGCTGAGAGCATGCGCGCTAGAGTTTCTAGAAGGATCATGACTTATTGAGGAACCCTGCGAATGTCCGAGTGTTTGCCAGGCGCACTCTTTTATAGTATATAAGCCCGACAAATAAAGCCAGCGATAGGAGAGATATAGATAGATTGAAGAGATATATAATTGAGTCAAGCGAACAGTAGGCACCGTAAGTAAAGTGTGTGTGAATAACTGTGATTTATAGCGTGTGTTATAAAGGTTTTTAAGTTTAAAGTGACTGTGGAAATTTTGTGTACTAAAAAGTTGTATCAAGAAAGAATTAACTAGTTTTAATCAAGAAGGGACTTGTACCGCTGAAGTTCCTCGGAAAGAAATTATACCGGAAATTAACAAAGAAGCAGATACGTAACAATATAATTAACAATTCTATCAACAGTTATAACACAGTAAAAAACAAATTTTGCGTTGAGTAGAAAAATATGTAAATAGAGTCGGTTGTTTATTGGCTAACTAATAGAGTTACAACTACATATTTTTTCATTATATGCTAGCGCACTTTTATTATATATAGATAAAAAAAAAGAGAGAGGGAACTGAGAAAAATTTAACAATAACAAGTTTAAGCTACATGCACATTGAGACATATCTGTACTTATGTTAGTTGTGTTGTTGTTTAAGCGCAAAGCTACACAATTGTCTGTCTGCGATATGTCCACCGAGAGGAACCGAAAACAGGGTTTTAGTACTCTAAGTCCTCAAACTTACCGCTTACCCATCGAAGGGTTGTTTGTTGTTGTAAGCGCAAAAATACACAGTGGGATATTTGTGCTTTGTGTACCATGAGTATCGAAATATGGTTTTAGCGAATATGTCCTCAAGCTTACTGTTGAGTCATTGAGGGTCTCCCGCAGCCGGGAGGGGGATTTATCTGTCAGAAAGAGCTATTCTGAAATTTTAAATAACTAATACAAATAATAAGATACCACGTACCAAGAAGTAATTATTTGCATAGATACTTATTGAGTGATATAATTTTATTTTGCAATATTATCGAAGCTTTCAGTGGCTCAGCAGCAAGTCTGCAGATTTACGACGCTAAAATTCGGGTTTCGATACCTGTGATGGGCATAGCACAGACGGCCCCTTGCGTAGCTTTGGGCTTAGCAACAACTAAACCAAAACAAAGTTTTTCAATTATTATTCTAACAGTTTTATCAGCTCAATGGATGTCGTTTAACATCCTGTTTGCTGCTCCACGTTTTTCCCGAACCCAGGAAAAAGATGTTAAGATATTTATGTGCGTGTGTAATATATAGGGCAGAGTTTTAAAATATTCATATATGTTTTTTAAGTAGATGTCATGTTATGATGTGAGAGTACGTAACAAATAAAGAAGAAACACTAGAATGTTTAATATTTCAATGATTTTAGAAAAGTTTTTTCAGTAACAGGTAGTTTTTGTATTCTTGAAATGTTACTATTAAGCTTTAATTCTAAATATTAATATTGGATGAACTAGTGGTACCGATTCTGATACTGATAGGGCAAACAGGCAGCCGATTACGTTTACGGTTATTCAAGTTATACCGGTCCGTAGCAACCACAGTGATTGTGAGATTAAAATTTATTTGATTTTGACTTGGTGAGCCCTTGCAACGACGGAAAACGAAGAATTGAACGACATATTTAGGTGAAAAAGATAGCAATGCACATCCATAAATGCTATGTGAAAATTTGTTTACGTATTAATTATTATGTGTTAGTTATTATTTTGTATTGGACTTTGTAGGATTTAGGAGTAGAACTAAAAATTGGATTCGAAAAGACCAAACTTTGATAAATTTAATCATGACTTCATCAAGTTAATGGTTGAACTTTGGGGATGCTATTCCTTATAACTTTATTTAATCAATTTTGTTTATACAGCATAAGTGGAGGAAGGGTAAATTAAAACTCGTAATAACTGAATAAGTGAGCCTCATTGAAATTGAAAGTGGAAATATATATATATCTCATTTATGCAGCTCCACTTCAGTAAGGTTACACTCACTTTTTTAGGTTTTGGTCAGCAAGCGGTAAAAGTAGCGGTATCTCACAACTTACGTTGCTGACCTGTTTGAGTTCTTGTAAATTAGATTATTACTGTACAATGTATATATATATAAATATTTATATTTATATATAAATTATATATAATGTACATACATACATATAAATTAAGGATAAGGGACCTTTTGGTCCATCTACCAGTGACCTAGGCTCTATCTACAAAACTTTAAAACTAAGACACCCAAGACTGAACACAGTACTCCAATTTCCAAATGTGGCATAACCAACGACCTATACATTGAAGTTATAACCTGTTCCTGTGTTGTTAAGTACATATTCTGTCCTGTTCTTCCCATGGGAATCAAAATCCGTTTTTCTTAGTGTTATAAGTATGCATAATACAGACTGAGCTACTGGGGGTAAATTAAAAGTATTATAATCTCTTTAGACGTGTATTAAGTATTTCTGTACATACAGCCTAAAACTGTATTTACTCTGCCACTAGCAACAACAAAAAAAAAAAAGTTAAAACTGCTTCGAGGACTAAGATATTTTTCAGTTTTTATCCAGTTAGGTTTTATTGGATTATGGCTGTAGTTTTTGTATAAGCAGGTACACAATAATCCAGCCATACAAAAAGTGATAAAATTGCTGTCAATGTAATTGTGAAGAAATAGAAAATACACCACCATTATGGTCAAATTATCTTCATTAATTATTAAGAACAATTTATGTAAACTGTTTTTATGTTTGCATTTCATCGTTTGGTTATTAATGTTGTGGACAAACTATAATTCTTTAATATCAAGCTTTTTATGTCTATATGGAAGAGTTTTCCATAAGTGATGTCTGAGAGTGATAACTTGTATTTACCATTTTATTCATTGGTCTTTGAATTTATTTTTTAGTGACACATTTTGTGCACGCCATTTGTAAATGAATATTTATGAGAAATAATGCTACTTGAATTTATTGTACTAATTATAGTGCCTGTACATCTTTCATAAATGAATATTTATGAGAAGTAAGCCCTTAACCTTATGATTACAAGCATTAGTATATTTTAGTCCATTGCCTTATAATTAATTAATCAATGTTTGTGGTAAGAGGAAAGTTAAAAGTAAGGAGTTATTTAGTATAAGTAGTTGAGTAATTTAACCCAGATTTATTGTTTCAGCATCGTAACTTTAGCCAGCCTTTTATATGAAGACTTGATTTCGAGCAAATAAAGAGGACTTTAACATCTTCATCACAAAACATGAGAAAAAGCACATGTTTCTTGGATTGTATTGTTTCTTTTATTGGATCAAGATTTTTGTTAGCAATACTTTCAATATTTCTACATCTGAAATGTGCATGGTCTCAGGATTTGGATCAAAAAGTCATGATGTTTAGCCATGAAAAAAGTCTTGTCTATGGCCCAGGATTTCAGAAAGATTTTCATATGCCGGTACGATACTTTTTTATTCAAGCTGTTGACGTCAATGGTGAAAAGTAAGTTTTTTTTGTTTTAAGTCTCAGTTCATGTTTTATGTAAATGCTATAAAAGTAAATTACAAAAATATTTGAATTATAATGTTTTTTAAACACAGTTGTGAATAATGATTACAAATATGTATTTATGTTGTTCTGTTATAGTAAGATAATATTATGAATAATTTTTTAAACCAGTTTTACAGAATCTCCATCTGGGAAGCTTGAAGTTCACATCACTGGCTATAAACAAAACTGTCGTATCTGGACACAGTTATTTGATCAAAAGAATGGAATTTATATAGCAAGATACAAACTCTATGATCAGTGCTCTGCAGTTGAGATAAATGTAAAATATGAGGGCCAACCAGTACGAGAATCTCCTTACATTGTAGAAGGTAACTATTATGTATTAAAGTTTTGGAACAACCTCCTTTTGAAAACTAAAGTTTTTATTATATAATATTGTTTTAAATGAATTAATACCAAATAGATATTTGTTCTTTAATCACTGTGGAAGGAAAGTTTCTTGGTTGACAGTTTTTGTGTGTTGTGATAGCCAGCCGACAAATAGCTCAGGATATAACATGCAAGGGTGGCACATAAATCACGCCCCATAGGGATTTTGAATAACAATAAGACAAAAGCTTTTTACTTATTTTTTGTTTATTAAAGTACATGTTTGAATTGTGGGCCATTAACTCTGAATCACTTGTGGATTTGAAGTTAATGGCCAGCAATTGGAACATTTACTTAAATATACAAAAAGTAAGTACTTGTTTTTTATTGTTATTCAAAAATTCCTTTGAGGCATGACTCTTATGCCACACTGTATAATAAAGATTAGAAACAGTGCATGACAACTTTAATTGATATTCAGATATTTATCTGTACATGTGTAAATAGAAGGGGTAGCAATATACATTGTTCGAATTATTAAATGAACTCTAGTGTTCTGTTCTACACGGTGTTTTCCTCCCAGCTTTGCTGACATACTTTCTCCTCGCTTGTTTTATACCACACAATTATGTTATTAAAGATTACATACCATAAAGAACCTTCAATCATAGCTTATAAATATACCATTTGGTCCTTCAAGACTTTTCCTGCACATGAAAAAGTAAAAATTATACTTGCCTTTCATTCTTCTGGATATTAGCGATTTTCATTTTCCCTCATAGTTTTGTAAGTTACCAGCCTCCACCACTGCTGAATGCAACTTGTACCATAAGCTAATCATCCTGTTAGAAGAATAACACTGTTAACTTTGTATTGTCTTCAAAATTCAGCACAAAGAAGTCAGAAGGTAACATCTTATTAGTCCCCCAGATAATCTGGTATAAGTTTGTAAGGTCATTGCTAACTTTTCTTAAAATAAAATAAGGGACCTTTTTCTATATCCATGAGATAAAACTTCCTAGGAGCCATTCTACTTTTCAAATATGTCAGTATCCTTTCTTGGATAAGGAGACAAAATTGTGCACGTTTTCTAAGTGAGGCCTAACTGGCAATTGGTTTAAAGGGATAATTTATTTATTTGACTTGTAATCAGTATGTCTGTGAATAGCCCTAAAAGTAAAATTTTGTTTGGTCTATTAGTAGCATCAAAGCACTGTTTCACTAGTAAGATTCTTTTCTTCAGTCATGCTATTAAGAAAGCTCCCATCTGTATTGAACATGTGATACAAAGAATAAGCAAAGTGCATTACCTTGCGCTTACGGTAACTGAAGGTCGTTAGCCAAGTACTTATTGAACTTATAATTTGATGAAAGTCATTCTTTAGTCCACAGTATAGCTGGAAATACCTAATGACGCCAGCAAACTTTATCAATTTCCTAATTATGCCTGTATAAGCATCATTAATGTAAATAAGAAATAGCTACAGTTCAAGCAATGACCCCTGAGGCACATTACTTGTAACAGAGGCTCAATTGGACTGACTATTTATAACAACCTTATTCATTATCCAATCCAGCCATCATACAGTTCAATTAATTAGTCTCTCCCCAACCCCTACCTTTGTGGTTTTCTTAGCTACTTGATTGTGTGGCATCTTATCAAAGACTTCTTAAAGAATTTAAGTACAAGTCTACACACGTTCCATCATCCAGGTAACCATAGGTGTAGGGTGGGTCAAGGGGGCAATTGCCCCTCAAAATCTGGCCCAAATAGTTTTTTGAACAAAAACCACCCAAAATATTTGGGCTAAAGCTCCCTATATATCTATTACTTTTATATTTGCAAACATATTCTGCCTTTTCATCCACACGTGACATTTTCACTTGCATCTTTTTAACCTGTATGGTGCCTTTTCACCCACATGTGACATTTTCACTTGCATCTTTTTAACCCGTATGGTTCCACATGGAAGTCATTGGAATATTTTTTTCAAATGACTTTAAACCTTATAGTACATGATTTTAAAGTCTGTTTTATGTTTTTGGGCAAAACTTGCTTGTCTCCTCCCTGGTCAAAATCAAGCCCCTATGCCTATGCAGGTAACAAACAAGTAACATCCTTGATGAAAATTAACAAATTAGTAAGGAAAGATTTCTCTTCAGTGAATCCATGTTGGCTCTCTTTTTCAATATTATGTTTTGCTAAATGATTTAAAAGTTTTATTTATTATACTCCCAGAAATGTCCCCATGAGAGAAGTAAGACCAACTAGCCTATAATTTCCAAGGCAACTCTTATCACCTTTTTAAAAATAGGAGTATTGTTAGTAAACTTTTCAATCGTTGGGCAACTGTTCTCTACTGACTTACCCAAAATGAGAAAGGCTTGCATATCTGATCTTTGATCTGCTTTAAAATTTTGGGGATACCCTTGTCTGTCTCTAGTAATTTTTTTTTTTCTATTTTTGATCTTCAGTCTTTTTACTTACATTGAGAGAGGACTGATATCCACATCTTCTCTTATAAAAACAGAAGAGAAAGAACATTGTAAAAGCTCAGCCATCTCATATTTTATTTAAACAAAAACCTTGCCATAAGTATATGTTAAGGGATCAATCTCCATTTTAATATTAGCTTACCTTTAACACACTTGCCATTAATTTTAACTTTGTCAGCCAGCTGTTTCTTTTAACCCATTTTTGATATCCTAATTTCTTTTTGAACCAAATCCCCAGGTTTGTAGTATTTCTGCAAGTCTTCCAACGTATTCTTGTGTTATTTATTTCTGATGTTATTCGTATCAATGAACATGTGAAAGGAGTTATCAATGTATAGCACAAACTACACTATAAGACAGAAATGATTTTACATATACCTTCATGTATGTGAAATATTACTGTTAGTGATACATGCACTGAAAAAACAACAAATTCTTGACCATACTTCTAAAAAACTTGTCCACGGAACACTGAAATCAATCATAATTAAATGATTTTATTATACAAATTGCATCACTGCATTATGTCATCATCATGTGACAAAAGCCCTCCACTAATAAGAGGGTGACACACCTCCATGCTCAATAACTCCATCTATGCATTTGCACTCATGAATCTTTATTCTTTTCCTTGACATTGTATAGTACAGACATGTTTAAATTTCTTCTCTGTATTCAGTTTATTGAGAATTGCATATTTAACAAAAGTTTAGTTTTAATTTTCTTTAGTTTTAGTTTCAAAAGCTTTAATTTTTTATTATGAATTCTCAAATGATGGCAATTTATACTTAGTCCTGAGTGTGTGACAAGATTCACACTTAGGCCTCATTCTACTATGGCATTAGGAGACTCACTAGCTGTTGGGGTTGTTACTGCCATTGTTCAATCTGTTGTGGACTACCACATTTCCTGGGCCTCCTGCTATCATTTTGTTAGCTATATTTCTTTTTCCTCGGTCAGGAATGATCTATTGGACCGTGCCCCTTAACCATTTTAGCTTTAGACAGTTCTTTACCATTCGTGACACAATCTTAACCTTAAATAATTCTCTCTCTGGATTTCATTCTCATGTATGTTTCTTTCCTTATAGTTTGCCTGTCCTCCTTATTATTTTTTGTTTTATCACTCCATAACCCATGTTTCATTGTTCTTTCTTCTTGCCTGTTATTAGGATTTATACTGTTTCATTTCTCTAATAGCTCCTTTCTCATGCCCAAATTCTTGTCCCTTCTCTTTAGTGACTCTTTTTTGTCTTGCTTTTTTGTTTTCCATTGCTTGATACCCTTTTATTATGTCTATCTGTCTAATTTGGGGGTTGTAATCTCTATTTCCCTTTCCCTTTCCCTAATTTTCATCTTTTTCATTCTACCTTCCTGTACTTCATCCCCCACCCATGAGGCATTTCTTCTTTCTTTAGATAGACCTCTGTGATCATCCCTTCTCTATTTGACCTGTGCTAACTTCTTTTGTTCTAGTCCTCCATACTTTGTTCCCCTGCAGTTGGGACTCTTTGTTTGGATTACGTCCTTCTTCATACTTCTTCCTTTTTTTTTGTGTACTTATTATTACCCTGAGTCCATTTTTTTGGCTGAATGCCTTCGGTGGTCTTCTTTTTTCCTGGTAATCTGGATTTATATTCTGTGACTTCTGTCCTTGTTCTCTTCCTAGTGTTTTTTCTCTTTCTTGACTTTGCTCTTTACTCCTGTTTCTCTTCTAGGTCAGTTCCAGCTAACCTTCCCATTCTAGGCCTTCCTCTTTTTCTTGTGTTGTCACTTCCTGATGTCCCATTCACCACTCTTCTTGTCAGTAACAATCAAACACATACAATTCTTGGATATCCATCTTTTTCTCCTGCTGTTGGTCTCATTTTTTGGTATTCATTGTTTTTCATTTATACACCTTGATCATTTCCTCACTCCTCTTTTATTGATTTCTCTTCCCATTTCCTATTCTCCTCCCTACGACTCCATCTATGGTCTTTTTCACTCAGTTTGTGATTGTTCCTGATCGATGTGTCAGACACTTTCTCCATATCTTTCTTGGTTTATCTTGCTATTATTTTCTCTGTTCTGTTCACCCTTTATGTGTTGTCTCATTCCTTTTGACTTAGCATTGACTCCTCTTGTATTCATTGGTTTCATGAGGGCTTTCACTTGCCATATTCATGATCCAGGACTGGCATTCCTTTTCATTGACTATTTATATATATATCAGCCCATTATCAAATGTTTTCCCTTTTCCAACCTCCCATCCTTTCTGATGGCTACTTAGTTGGGGTCAGGGGACTCATATTGGGGTATAAGCTATTTTTCACACCCACTCGGTGTTGGGTACTTTTGGGCATTTTCTTCCTCTCTTGTCTCAAGGTTATCTTCTTCACCTGTGAGCTATGGCATGTTAGTCACCAGCTTTTCTACTTCCCATTCTCTTCCTGCATGAGAGGTTCTTTCACTTTTAAAGACTCTGTCTTCCTTAGAACCTCTCATTCCTTCAGAGCATGCCTTCATGTATCTCGTACAGTGGACCTTGTGAATCCATTATTGGTTTTTTGGGGTCCTTTGTCCTCTTTTGTAAGCCTCTCCTGAATGATTTGTCATGATGCCTGGAATGTGCCCTACTAATTCCTGCTTTCTTATAATGCCTCTTTAACTATATCTCTGCCTTTTCAATCAAAGAAAGAACTCTTTGATTGAGATACTTGTTTTCGATGAGGGCAGGACTTTTGATGTTCGGACACTGGACAAGAGCTCACTCCACATCAGTGTACTTGACCTTCTTGTACTTTGTTGGGCATGTCCCCATTGCTGCTCTTACAGGTAGTTTACTTGGTCATCTTTTGGATAGTTTATTCCCTGATCTTTTCTTGCTTTAACCATCCTCGTGGTTCCTTTTCTAGGGCCTTTTGTTTTTGGGCACTAGCCATACACTTTTGAGCTTAATCACATCATTTGCCAGAAGCTTCAGTTGTGATGGCCGACCATCTCTCTTGGGCATTCCATATTCCATCAACAGAATAGCCTCTACAATCACAGGTCTTCCTTGGGGTTTACTCTTGGTTGGGCATGCCACTCTTGGATGCTTTTGCCACTCTTCTCATCTCTGAGCTGCTTCATTTATGGTCCTCTATTCCTTGTTTTTTGCTCTGGTTGTTGATTTTTCTCTGCCAGATCTGTTCTTACCTCTTACTCTATTCACCTCTTCTTTCTGGGCTGGTTTACACACTACTGTCTTTTTTTGGGCCCTAATGTTGGTGTCTCTTTAACTGCATTGGTTTACTTGATACTTCTTCTCCTCATTATCTTATCTCCCTCTTGCTTCACACTCTCACACTTTCCTTCCTCATAGAGGGATATCCTCCCTCCACCCTCACACATGGCCTCTGGCTTATCTGTTGCCCATTGGGCCAAGCTTTCCACTACTGTGGCCTTGTTCTTGTTACATTCTTTTGTCATTGGTTCTTCTGCCACCCCTTAACTCCTGGCAGTAAGTCTGTGTACAACCCTTCTGCCTTTCTTACTCAACTATTTGTTGATGGATTCTTGGTCTCAGCCTTCCTGGTTGTTTGGTGGGTCTGTCCATGGCCCTTTTCCTTTTCCAGTACTCAGAGGTGTTTCTTCCCCTGTTCTCCCCATTATGTTCTGCTCCTTCATTCTCCTCACCCAACTCTCTTACCTGACTGAGATCTGAATGAGGTTTTGCATGTTTTTGTGCATGCCACATATGAGCTGTTGACTTCCTGACTTTGTACCAGCTTTATTTTCTGACTTGATTCCTTCTACTTCTCCCGTATGATTACCATTGCTCTGATGTCATTCCTGTTGATGCTTCTCTTGCCCTCTTTCACTGCATTTATCTTTCCTCTTCCCAGACCAATCTGTTCTTCCTTTGACTGTTTGGGAGGTACACCAGACTTCTCTCCTATTTATCTTCCTTCTGCTTCTTGCCTATCAGACGATTATTGGATCTGGCTCTGCTAGTGTGTCTTGTTGGGATGATCTGTATGCCTTATCATGGATCTCTTCCTTTAGGGGTCTCCATCTTTGTCTGTCCTTATCCTGGGATCTCTCTTTTTTTTTCCATGGACCTTATTCCTTTTTCCCTTACAGGATGGGTCTCTTGAGTATTCTGTTGGCATGTTTGTCTTGGGATGTGGATGCTCACAGACTCTTTTTTCCCTTTTATTCATATTCAATTTGTCACATTTTTCATTCTCTTACATCTCTTCTTCAATGGCCATTGAATAAGCTTCTCCAGGTTTGCATGTGGTTTCTCCCCACACATTCATCTCCTTCTCTACAACTTCTGGCTGTTTCATCTTCTGATGATTTTCAGCTTCTATAGGTCACTATTATTCAATTAACCCACTGTCTTTGAGAAGAATATGTACTATTCCTCTTTTAGAACCACTCTTTCATACCATATGATCCCATCAGGTGGCTGATGTTGCCACCCAGGGTATACAACCCAAAATCCACTTGCTGGCTTTTAAAAATAGGGTTTTGTGGTCACCCATTTCACTGTCTCCAGTAAAATGCTTTCTGGACTGAAGGACCAGTGGGGATCCAGGCACCTTTTCTGGGCCTTCCCTATGCAAATTATCCCCCTTTTGTCAAATGCAGCATGGGAGACCCTTTACACTGTGCCTAGCCTACCACTGTGCACCACCCTTCCTAGCCACTGTGGTGGTGGACCACACAGAACCCTCACTGATTGGAACTCAACTGCTGAGGCTAGAACAAGGAGTACCAATGCATTGAGAAGTGGGATGGTGGTGACATTGTTAGTTTAGTGCAGGTCACCTCATATAAATCAGATACATCAAACGTGTCTCCCATGCCCTCCTCCTGCAACCTGAGTCTGTCCAGTAGAATTGAGGTGAGTGCACACCATATGACTGTGCCCTCCTTTTGCAACCTGAGTCTGTCCAGTAGAGTTGAGGTTAGCACTCACTATACAATATATGTAATATGTTCTCCTCATGTAGCCTATGTCTGTTCAGTAGAATTGAGGTGACAGCACTCTGTACTGGTCCTTACTATCTGACTAATATGCCTTCCTCCCACAGATGGTAGAGTTGATTCATGCACTCTGTACCTGTGATGTATCTCTAATGTACCCTCCTCCTGCACTTAGTGTTAGCCCCGTAGAGTTGAGGTGTACACAGGTATCCATATTATATAACAATATGCCCTCCTTCTGCAGCTGAAGTCTGTTCCGTAGAGTTGAGGTGAGCATGGATACTTATCATGTGTCTTCCTCCCATAGCTGGTGCCTGCCCTATAGAATCTGATGGTAGAGGAGGTGAGCACAAAGGGTATAGTCTGAATTTACCTCAGCCACATTACACATATTGGCTGTCTGACAACTTGTGTGCAAATGTTTTCTCACAAGTCCATTATGTTTTTATAAATTTTAATAAATAAAAGTGAAAAAAAAGCAGAATATACAAAATGTCTACTTGATTATTTGTGCAAAAGATCCTAGTCAAAAGAGACACAAATTTAAATAAGTATATTTATTTTGTTCAGAGTCTGACACATCTATTTTGCTTTTGTGTTTAGCTTTTTGGTGTAGAACTTATTAGGATATCTTTATCACGAATATTTTATAAATGTGTTGTATCCATTATTGGGATCTCTTTATGAATAATGTTACTGTTGTATTGTATCCCTTATTAGGACCTCTATACCATGAACATTGTTATTGTCCGGTATCCCTTCCAACGTGGCTAGACTTGATGAGTTGTTATGGCAACTATTCCCAAATTCATGCTGACTTGTCAAATTTTCCACAAGTTGACATGGAAATGGCTTTGGATAGTGCAATTAAACGATTCAACATGCCTGGAGCTATCAGCTTTTGCCATTATAGTGTTATCAAAAATGAGGTAAGTATACAGGCACAACCTCTGTTCACAGTTATTTTGCATAATGAGTACTTGCAATATTAAAATGACCAAATTTTTTGTTTTGTATGCTGTACACATAAATGTTATCAAGAGATAACACTTGGTTGACCCCTACTAAACATTTTACCTGTTTTCAGGTGGGAATGCTAGTTTCCACATGTTAGTTGTGAAATGGGAACCATCTGGTTTAGCTATTTGTACTAGATGTACTTCCACAGAGTCCCTGAAATGTTCTGCTTCAAGAGTAAATAAAACCAAAATTAAGAGTAACAAATATTTTTATTTTGTGCTTTTGAAGTTCATATACCATGCTGTGTTTTAGTGTACACAGTCTGCAATTCTTCTCTTAATTCATGGTGTGCACACATTCTACTGACATCACAACAGTTCAAATTGCATTGTTAAGTGTCCCTTATGTGACATCATTTTAGTGTCTGTTGATTGACTGACAGACAACAAATTACTGTATAGTGGTGTGAGAGGTTAAAACTGGTAACTCTTACAGGTGTTCTTCGGCTCCCTTTTGGGGAAATTATGGGATTGATGAACTGTTCTACAAATAATGGTTTAGCTAGAAAGTAATATTATAACTAGTGAATGTATTCTTATCTTGGTGTGAATTAAGAATGCATTATGTAGATATTGTATTTTTCAGAGTAAATATTGTATATAGTTTCATGAAAAAAATACTTAAATTTCCGAAACATACTTACCCCCTCTCACACTACAGCTACTACTCGACTGCTAAGGTTTCTTTTCATTTGGCCATCTAAGCATTGGTCTGATTTTTTTCTCACTTGCTTCAGTCTTTTATTTCCCACTTAATTGACCTTGGCAATATCTGTCTTGTGACACTCTCCATCTATGTCAATGCATTCTCTATTCTGGTATTGTATATAAGCACCTCATTCAGATAATGTTATCTCTTTGGTGACAGATCAATTGTTTCGACCCAACCAGATTCTCCTGACAGATTGGATGCTGCATCGTGAGGTTTTTCATTGGATTTGCTCTTGGTACTTCACTCTTGAGCATTGGCAATAGATGCATTCAGTCAGAACTGGACGGGATTGCACCTCTGTGCCTTCTCACCTATATGTATGTTACCCAGAGTATTAGCTATGATTCATTCAACCCCTTATCATGTTCTGTTGGTAGCACTGGATTTACCGGCTCAACCAGGGTTTCCACTCCTATGGTACTACTATTTCTCACCTCTATTACCGATCAGATCCCAATCATTTTTTTATGTCCAGTGAGGGCCTTGAAGTGTTATGTGGCCTGCACTAATGCCTTTAGAGGTGCTAGGCAATGACTTTTTATTGATTGGGATCCTTCAGTTTTCCAGGATTTATCTCCAGTTACTTTGACGAGGTAGGTATGAAAATTGATCCATATTGATATTCTGGGCTCTCTTTGGAGGCAAGGTGACTTCTGCAATTCACATCTCATCAGATTCATCACATTTCTATATTCTTAGCAGCCTGGTTGAATTTCACGCTGGAGGACACTGTGTGGTCTGGTATGTGGACTTCCCCCAATACTTTTATCTCACATTATTTGCATGATCCGGCAGTATCTTCCTCTGAGGGTTTTTGACTACCCCCTGTAGCTATTTTAACTACATTCGCTAGATTATAATGAGGGGTGAATCTTCATTACTAATTTTGTCTCTTCTTTACTTTCCAAGGTCCTGTACTTCTTTTTCATAGGATCCCACTCTGTGGCAAGTGCTATACTTCAGGTGTGCTTGTATCAAACCAAATCTGCTCTAGCAACCATTAACACAATATACTTTATGTAAGTTTCGACAGGCTCTTTAGATGAAGTGTTTCATAAGACCATCTAGAGGCATACTGGTTGCTATGACTGTACTATGCTGAACTGCCACACATGGACTATCATGAATAAAGCATAAGGGGATCCTGCCTGTTCCTGCCCATCATTGGATTAAATAAATCAGGGTCAGTTTGCTTTTAAAAGTGTAGGGATCCTAGTTCACCTATTGCACTGTTTCCACAGAATTGTTCCTCAAGACTCTTCCCCCTCCCCCTCCATATTCTACTGGTGGAGCTAGAGAGTCCTTACCATGACTGTTTTCTAGTCACTGGGGTGGTGGACAGAGGTTATTCCTCCAGAGTGTTCAAGTGAAATTCCTCCAATCTTGGAGAAGAGGGCAAAGTTGGAGGCCCTCTACCTGGCACGTTTTTCCTCAAATGTTGGAAGGAGAGGCACCAGCCTATGCAAAAGCCTACTCACAATACCAGTTCAGATTTGATGCTCAACTAACTGGATGGATTGGGCATGCCCCTTCTTATAGATCAGTATTGTTTCAGTACATTATTTATAGAAAAGGGTCCATTGTCTCCTCGTAATTCCATGTGCAGAGTGGTCCTATCCTGGGTCCTTGGTTGAGCACAGTTTGTTTCATATCCTCCCCAAATTTCATGGGCAAGTGAAATTTACCTTGCCCACGTGGTTGAGAAGTGGGGATGTTCATAATTCCAGACTACATGAGTTCTGTTTTCTCAGGTTGAGTATGGCATACAGGATCCTGTCATTCTGAGTTTGGGTTGTTGCCTTTTGGACTCTTTCAGGTTGAGGAGAGAGTTTGTCCACTTAGGTGTTGCTTACCATTTTGTCATGATTCCGGTGGCTCGGAATGTATCGTTCTATAGCTACACACATATATATATATATATTGTGGTCCAAATGCCCTAGCCACCAATGTGGGATTTAGGGGGCCATGGCCCTATAATTCCCATAATTCCAGTGGTACTTCGGCTGTCTGGTAGGGGGCTTGCCAATAATGATGATGGATCACATCATAGTCCACTTGCAGTGCATAATTTAGGTTCCAGATGAAAAGCATACCTGTTCTGGATGTAGTGTGGTTCCCCCACTAGGGTGCCAATCTTCTATTGGCATGCCCACACTCTATGCAGACACATTCTGTATGGATAATGCCCTCACTGGTCCCTCTGCCTTATCAATGTGGGATTCTAGTTGTAGTATGAGAGGAGGTATGTATATTTTGGAAATTAACATTTTTTTAAATCGAAAATCTATTTCTAATTATACTTGCCTCCTCCACACTCTCACTCTTCCTCTCCACTAAGAGCCAGTATTAGTGACTATGGTTTGATATAATCTGAATGAGGTGCTTATATACAGTACCAGGATAAAAGGTGCATTGATGTAGGTATAGAGTATCACGAGACAGATATCGCCAAGGACAATTAAGTGGAGAATAAAAGACTGGAGCAAGTGAGAAGAAACCAGACCAATGCTTAGATGAGCAAAGGAAAAAAAACCTTAACAATTGAGTAAAAGCTGTAGTGTGAGATGAGTTATTATTGGAAATACATTTTTGATTTAAGAAAATGTTAATTATTTTAATATCAAAACAATTTATAATACCAGCTGGTTTCATTTTAAATAACACGACCAAAGATTTGCCAGAAAAGGAAGGAAGCGTTTAACAGTAAATTGAGTTTGTGTTATTGTTGTAAATGATTTTCCCACTTTTTATTTAGTGACCTATTTATTTTTTTTATGTTTGGTAATGCTTTAACTTTAATAATTATTTCACTCGTATTTCTTTCACCATGAAAGGAAAGAAATTTTAACTGTAAACTGCATTTGTATTATGTTTTTGAAATGCTTCATTACTTTTTATATAGTTACCAGCTTTTTAATGTTTGGAGTATTTGTTAACTTTTCTAATAATTATAGTTGTATATTATGGAATGGTTTTGTTCTTATTTTTCGGTTTGTGCTTTTAGCTCAAATTAAACTTTTGTGTAACAGAGCTATCATTCTTAGTATTTTGTAAAGTACGTATGAATAGCTAAAAGTAGTTTTATTGTCTGTTATATTCTGAATTTTCTGTTTATATTTTTTCTAACTTTTAAACTTATCTTGGATAGTGTAAAGGCATGTGGGCAGCCTGTGGGCTTAGTTGTTGAGTTTGACGTTGCACTCGTTACAAAGGAACTTATTTGAATTTCAGATCGTGTTTTCGCGAGCAGAGCACACAAGCCGTTAACCCGAGGAAATATGTGTGGTATAAAGAACTTGCACAGCGATAATGGAATATAAAACAAATAACTTCTTTAATTTATACACTGTTGAACAGTTCATCTGTACCGAAACTTTCAAGGTTGTCTTGAGATAACACTACTCCCAAATCATTTAATTCTTCATTTTGAAAGTCTAGATGTTCACTAATAAGATCTTCTATTACATTCAGTAACATAGATACAACATTAGTTAAGATATCAATTAAGTTAACATGAGAAATTCTCTTCGTCATAATCTGTATACCTTGCATTAACAATTATTCTGAGATATCTTTTAAGTAGTTTTATGATAAGTGTTATCAAATATACTATTTCTTTAGTACAGTTAGAGTTTTCCACTTTTCTCTTTATACATTATGGAACAGTAAGTGAAACGTTGTTAGACTAGATCAGAAGAGCATACTTGCAAGGTGTTTGTGCGGCAAACTTCTTGTAGAGTCTGAATTACTGCTATCTTCAGTCTTTTGGAGTTTGATCACATTCCTGGAGCAAGAGAATTGTGAAGAAGAAGAAGTGAAGTTTAGAGTTGGAAACATGAAATTATATACACAATTTTGAGGGTTTTTTTCAGTTGTTCAAGAACACATCTACTTTTACAAGTAGTTTTTCTGACTTGATTTGTGTAAAAGTAGGATCTTCCATCAAGAAACAGACTATTCCATCAAACTGTAACCAAAATCCACTTTGTCATTGGTCCTTATAGAACTTACTTCTGTCCATTGGCGAAATTATCCAAGATGACTGACTTAAGAGTGTATAGAGTCAAACTGTGTAACTTAGGTTTCTTCACCAATATTAATCCACTCAGTGGCATTCATCACAGTCCTATTATCTGTTTTTTTGTGACATTGATTTATTTTGTCATGTGCTTTATCTAAGCATATCATGTCTGTCTGGCACTAGAATTCATGGCTGTGAATTTTTACACCTCTAAGCTCAAGAGTTGGAATGTGTCTCTTTGATTGTTTCCTCCTCCTTTTTAGGCTATGGGACCTTATCTCTCTGTTCAATAGAAACCTTAAGCTTTCTCACATTATCAGGACTTACTTTCATAGGTACGTACCATTATTTCTCTTTCCCTTGTGTCATATTACTTCTCTTGTTCCTATTTCTTAATGCTATTGTACTCCAGTGTGACAGCAGTAAGTCCATGTAAGTTCCTGCAACCACAAGCCTCACCCTCCCTGTTTATCTGATTCTTACATCCTCAGTTTTAGTTATTCTGAATCTTTTTTCTCAATTCCCATGTTGACAATTGCTCTTGCCTGTGTTTGGTGGTGATTTTTGGACTATTTGACATTGGTTTTGCCCTCTAGTGTCCAATACTACTATTTTAGCCTGATCCTTTTTACTGTTACGTCTCCGTTTGTTAATTAACTTTCCGTAACTTCGTTCCAACGAAACTTAAGCGACACAAGTTCTTTCTTAATAAAACTGGTTTATTATTTCCGAATATAATTTTACCGATACACTCAACTTCAACAATCGCGTTAAAACAAACGCTAATCAACGAACGTCAACAATACTTCTGACGGCAGTTCAGTTACTCACTGTCTATACACACATTACCTCCCTTCCCGCGTCACGTTTTCCCCTCTTATATATACCAGCCTACCCTACTAGTAAATACTAGAGCATTCGC